CCCGTCTTTATCTGCTGGTTCTATTGGACCGCATAGGTCTGTATGTACTAGCTCTAGTACTGTCTTAGCTTTTGCAACTGCCTGCCTGTTTCTGCTTTGAGTACATTTTCCCTGCGTACATATTTCACAGTTATGGTTAGACATGTCATGTTTCCCTTTGATTGACATGCCTTTAACGGTTGTAGTTGAAGAGTTTGTAAATTAACATGAACCGAAGCTGTTGCCTGTTGCAATATACAGTCTATGGTTGCTACAGAGGATTGTGGGTAATGTAATGTCTTCGGCCATCCAAAACTCATAGAAAACTACTTGTTTCTCAGAATTGAAGGGGAAAATGTGACAAAAGCATTGTACACACACTAAAACCTATCAATGTCGTTTAATTAACAAGGATAATCTGGTGTTTTTGAGTTGATGAGTAGTGGAGATATCACTGTCAAATCAATCGACAGTAAGGGGAATACTTACTTCCGGGTGTACAATTCTCCGTTATCCAATGGGAATGGACGCTCACATTGCCTTTAACAAACGCCGACACAAACGAATGCCGTGCTTCCCTAAGCGTCAAATCCCGCCGCAGATGGGAATACATTGCAATCAGTTGAAAGCTAGTTGCGTCTGTTTATGAAGCTGAAGGAGCCTAGGAGCGTCCCAACTGCACGCCTCGGGACCCTGACCAAGCGTCGCTCCTGGACGTTTATGGAGTGAGAGTGTGTTGACTTTAGAGCTAATTATCTCATCACACAGTGCTCTAAGGTGAATTACTTTATACCAAGAACAGAGACTGTCCTGAACGCTTTGATATGTAACACACGGGGTGCCATGTATAACAAGTAAGCTACATTTAAAAGGTGATTTCAGGAGACATCTAAAAAAGACTCAAGAGGGTTATTGCGCCGTTTTTGTATTACTATAGTGAACAGCAATACGGTGCATTCTTTATCACCATCATGTTATAGTGATACAGTTAGTTTGTGTTAGTTTATTTGTTCAATACAGCCTATATCGATGTTGAAGTACTTAGGCTACGCCACTTTCGGGTCCCGGGGGGCTACAGCTGGCAGCGAAGCAGCCCCAGAGATAACTCTTTCTTCATATTTTTTGTGTATTCATTCAATCGGGTCAAAGTTACAAAGCACTTCACATCTTATTAATCGGCCTAGTTTTACCTTACCAGTGCAGTGGTAAGGTTATCTGTAGAAAAGCACCGTATTTAGGTCAGCCTTCACAGTAAGGCTACATTAAATGTTGTAATATTCATTGTGTATACTGTGTATACACTTCCTGTGTATTGCTTTTATTTGTATTATATTTATACTTGTTTTCCACCTTTTCCCACACATTTCCCAATGGTAGGTAGGTAGGTAGGCAGGCAGGCAGGCAGGCAGGCAGGCAGGCAGGCAGGCAGGCAGGCAGGCAGGCAGGCAGGCAGGCAGGCAGGCAGGCAGGCAGGCAGGCAGGCAGTAGGCAAATTGGGAAATGTGTGGAAAACAAGTATTAACATAATACAATTAAATACAAATAAAAGCAATAAACAGGAATAGGCTATACATAACCAGTAGAAAGGACACGATGAATATTATAACATTTAGCCTTACTGTGAAGGCTAACCTAAATACGGTGCTTTTCTACAGATAACCTTACCACTGCACTGGTAAGGTAAAACTAGGCCGATTAATAAGATGTGAAGTGCTTTGTAACTTTGACCCGATTGAATGACTGGGCTCTGGTTTCAGACAGAGGGTGAAAAGAGGTGCTGCAGCACAGGCAGTATGAGAAAAATAAAGAGCTTTTTGAACATTAAAGGATGGAGACATGTCACAGGGGAGGCACAAAATACTGTTATGAACCTGAACATTTGCATAATAAGTCCTATATACTTTATAAAGGAAAACATTTAATGGAATATCATAATATATCATGATTTATGTTTTATTGAGCTGAACCACAGAAATGAATTCCATTATGTTAACAGGGCCTTTTTTTACACACACTGGCACAAAACGTAATCTTTATCATATCCTCATTCAGCTCACTTCTACTGCCTTGGAATTGTATGTGTTAGAAGAAAATCTTAATCTTAATCTTAAAGGAAGGAAGGAAGGAGTAGTGTGGCAAGATGGATGATAACAAGAAAAAAAAAAGTAACCTTTCTCATCAATGGGCGAGTTGTGTCAGGCAGATAGTGGAGAGAGAAATCAATACAGATCTATGGAGGCTTCACACACACAGACACACACAGGACAAAGTCACTTTCCTCAGCAGAGTAATTGCTTAGCGCAGCTTGTTGATGATTTCGTCCAGTAAGACCTTGTGGCCTTCATATTGAAGCAATAGGGCTGCCCCAGTCTAAGGAGATGTTGGTAACACTTACATTTTTATGTCGCTTATGGATAAGTTAATTAAAGAGGACATATACAATGTTCGAAAAGGTCTCTATTTTCCTCATACTGCCTGTGCTGCAGAACCTCTTTTCACCCTCTGTCTGAAACCAGAGCCCAGTCTGCTCTTGTGGTTGGGTGATGTCCCGCCCCCTTAGCCTATAACGTACAATGTGTCGGAGCGCTAGCCATTAGGAGTGCGAGTGTTACATAGTGAAGTCATTGTGTTACTGAAGTAAACAAAGGGGTACAATGGAGGCGTTTCAGGCAGGAAGAGACAGCAGAATCTAAAGGCATAAAATTAACATAAATACAATTAAATTAAAAGACAAAATAGGTAGGCTTTGGGGAGGCTGTCACATAAATAAAGATATTTACAATTTTCTATGTGAAGCACTTTTATTTTAATGTTTTTTTTGTTTTTTCCAGTCCAACTTAAAGGTGGGGTAGGTAATTTTGGAGAAACTGGCTCGAGTGCGCTAGAATTTGAAAATACACAACCGGAGAAAATCTGCCACTTCCTTATAGAGCCCCTCCTCCAACACACACGAACGCGCACATGACCAATGAGGGCACGAGATAAATTTGTGCACAGATGGAAGGCTGACAGGCAGGTAGGCCATCCAGTTATTTTAGCAGGGCCGGCTCAGATGATTGGTCGTGCTTTTTACAGTATTACGGCTTCCACAGATGACATTTTTTTATGGATTTTTTGTCAAAGCACTTAAGATATTCATTGCTATCGGGATGTTAAGAGCATTCCATGGAATATAACAAAAAGTGTATCTCGAGCCGGTTTCTCAAACTTACCTACCCCACCTTTAATTGTACTTATTTTTAATAAGTTTGGATAAGCTGCATTTTTCGGTTTCTGAAGCCTTCTTGTGAAGACAAATCTATTTTCAATATTGTAAAAAACAAAATGCATGTTTAATGTCCTGAAAAACAAAACAATATTTAAAAATGTCTATAAATTTGGGTTAGTAATTCATGGAAAATTGTCCAATCCACAAACAAAAACCAACCAATTTGAACAGACATAAAATTATTTGTTATATAACGACATCCCAAATTGAATAAACATCACAGTTTTCATTTGTACGTCTAACTTTGATCCAGCAGAGGGCAACGACAGACTACCTAAATGTTCACATCATAAATCATCAACATTAGTAGTAGTTATTTGAATATATAATTTGGAGGAAGTTTCCTTGTGTTGTTTTATATAAAATGTTGTTTTTCCTCCTAATTTCACCTCTTTTTCTGCAGTGTGAGCTTTGACCTCCCTGTGTTTGGTGTTTCATAATGCTGACCTCCGATCACAGCAGTCCGGGAAATCATTTTGAAATGTTGACTCTAAAGAAATGAAGGGCGGGGGGGGGGGGGGGGGGGGATATGCGATGTCAGTTTGAGGTACCATCACAAACTCAAAATACACAAAATTAGAGTTAACCAGAAATCATTATGACTATTATAACGTTAATGTTCTTTTAGGGGTGTTTCAACTTACTGGTGTTGAGGATAACCATGATATTTAAAGTATTGTTTAAAACCCACATTGGATAATATAGTTTGAGTATAACTGTGCCTATTCAATCATTTTAGTTTATTTCCCATTCTCCCTTCCATGAATTCAATACAAACAGCTGAGTGTCACTCTTAAGAAATGAAGCACAATAAACAAAGGGAAAAAAAGAATTTGACTGAATTTATATACATACTGCTATGATCATGGAGTGAAAATCTGATTATGAGAAAGCACTTTATTCTTACGATTAAGAAGAACTCATAATACAAAACCTACTCACTGATATGACTTTCTGTTTGAATCATAGCTCCAGAGTGTTGGAGAGAAACTCCCTCAGGAGGGAACACAGGGATTTTAGCCTTTGCAGACCATTTACATGCACAAAAACTGATAGAGCACACTACAGGAGAGGGGAACCCCCAAAAAGCACAATAGGGCCTCTTTAACTGTTTTAGATGCAGTTACTTTACTAAATAGATTTGTTCTAAGTTTATAAAATGTGATATTTTGTTATAAATTAAAGAAGCAAAACCTTTGTACAAGAAGAACAGATTGAAGTCCATAAATCAACTAGCCGATTGAGGGGAAATGTATTTGTATCTATACATATTTTTTTTTGAATCATTTGTAGTTTTTGGGTATAAAGATGTTTCTGCATTAAGTACTTTTCCATTTAACACTTTAACAGCATGTTACTGATTATACATTTACCTGATTTACATTTTCAATGCAGGAATTTTTTATTTCAAAATGTTAACAGAGTGTTATACAGCATGTTCTTTTATTCAAGCAGAGGATCTGAATACTTATTCTACCTCTGCATAACTCCAGTTTACTATCACTCATTTAGAAACATCCCCATCATTTTGAATAAGTCATAAAATGAGACATAAAATCGGACCAATTTAGTCTTTTTAGAAGTACAGTTACCCCATATGTATGTCTGATTAATACGCAATATGTTTTTGTGATATTTGCTGCAGTTCACATCGGTGTGTTGGCCTCAGAGCAACAGCGTGACGTCAGAGTCAAAGATACACATTGCCTAACTTTTTGGGGTTGACCCCGACAATAATTAACCTGATCTGATGTGGAGTGTACTTCGCTCTGCTTTGTCCTGCAGTATTTTAATTCCTGAAAAAATGTCTGTGGGATATCTAGGATTTGTTCTTCTGCTTTGGTTCCCAGGAGTGCTGCATGGTAAGAACATTACATTCTGTCACCTATCATTTTTAGTTCAAGTGTTTTATTATAGTGCTCTCTTACTTGTTTCAGCACACAATGAAACCCAGAACTGTAATGCTTCCAGTCCGAGTGGAGGTTATGTTGTCCCTGAACAAGAAACGTACCTTCATGAAACAACGCTCACTTACGGCTGTGATAACGGATTTAAACCAGCAGTGGAGGGCTGGTGGGCGACAAGCATATGTCAAAATGGCAAATGGTCTCCTAAACCCCAATGTATAGGTACGTTTTTAATAATTTTTCTGGTGGTTTGTTTAAATAAGCCACTCTACGTTGTGTTTTTCAGGGTAAATGTGTAATACTTTGCTTTATAGTTTTATTTTCATTTAATTTCTGATTTTGATTGAAAGGATAATGTCCTGCTTGAATATGACACTAGAGATTTTTTAATTATTATTACATGTTTTGTAACCAGCTTTTTTATACATTTTTCCATCCATTCTCACCAATGTCACCAACAAACAGATATGAATTATACAAACATCAACACAACCCGGCGGCACACACATAGTTTAGCATAACATTTCAAGAGTAGGCAAAGATTCCTTTTTGTTACATTTCTGAATGATGCTAGTTGATTTTGCCTAACTTACTTAATATCCAACAATGAAATAAATATATGAGTTCTGGTTAAATGTTACAAAAATGTTTGCTTTATTAAAACCGTCGAGATATTTTTCATGCAAATAATGGCATTTTAAAAATGAAAAGACGGTGAGAAGGTATCATTTTTTCTTCATTGTTGATCTTGAAAAAGTCTTTGGGGGCCCTAACGTCCACTGAATAAAGGACAATGAATAGGAGCTGTAGTGTGCTGCACTTTATTTCAAATTGTATTAATTTATTTTCCAACTCAGATGAAAAAGCCTGTGTGCCACTGACTATCCCAAATGGAAACTACGATGTAAGCACAGATGGTTGGTATGGGGAGAGAGAAAAAATCCGGGTAAAATGTGACGAAGGATATGAACACAAAGACAATGACGCCACAGCGCAGTGTATAAACGGAGCATGGTCCTCTGTGCCAATCTGTGAAAGTAAGTCTGTCTTATTTTTTTTTTTAAATGTCAGTTACCAGAATCAAATCAGTGTCTAAATCTTAAATCCACTTTACAAAATAACCTCATTTTCAGGGAGTACCGAATCATGTGGTGATCCCCCTAAAATCCCCCATGCAGTCATCATTGGTCAGGGATACCAGGAGGTGTTTGCTGCAAGCTCAAAACTGCAGTATAATTGTAAAGATGGATATAGTGCAGAGGGAGCAGAGACCAAAGAAATCTGTTGTATCTCAGGAAACTGGACTGAAGGCCCAATGTGCAGTAAGTTGGCAATTTACTGAGAAATGCGCCAATAAGAATACTTTTTATTAGTTCTGTGTCATTATGGATTGGTGAATTATAAGATGTTACAAATGACCCTTGTCCAAGATTAAAAGTCTCCCATGGTCTAAATTATGCAAATATGCCAGAATTTAAGGTGAAGTCAACTACTGATTCAACAATAATTAGAAATAATAATAAAATAAACTTGATGCATGGCCATTTCAAATAGCGAAAAGCATTAGAAAATGGCTCTATTAGACTATGAAACTACTATATAAATAGATTAAAAATACACTTTATGTAGAAATGTTATTTAACTCAAAACACTTAAATTGTTAGAAGAAAAAAAAAATCGTATTAAGCAAGTCAGGGTCCGTGTAACACAGCATTACAATTGCCCTCAAATGTACCATATATGACAAAAGCTACCCTGTAACTAAGCTAACATTTAACATAGATATCAAATGTAAGACAACAGAATGGTTATTAAAACCAGACAGATTCAAATAAAAAATGCATTAAAGGACGAGATTAATACTGAAGATAAAATATAATACTTTTAGGCCCATACTTCAAAAGTCTTGCGAAAAAACGTTGAATAGTATGAGTGGTAAGACTAAGAAATATTCAAATGACTAAAAAACTATTTTACAATTGTTGTTAGGATAATGTGCTTTACTAGGGCAAACTAGTACAGTACAGAGGATGTTCCCCCACTTAAATCATGTTCAGATGGATAGGATACTAGATACAATTGCGCACTTCTTGTGTCCATATCTTTCGCTTTTGGTGGTCATTCCATCTGCTGGCAGGGGGCGACAACCTGCAGGTGGAGGTAGTTTACTGATTCATAATCAATACAACTATGAAATATGAGTTAATCCAATTATCTAACCACTCCATATGTATAGGCCTTGAAATGTATTTTATATGTCCACTCAGACAGAAGACCTGATACTGGCGGATCCACAGAGGGAGGAACAGGTGGAGGACACACTACTTCTGCTGGCAGTGGGATACAACCTGCAGGTGGAGGTAGTTTATTTACCTTTATAAAGTATGAATGATTAAAATCCTTTGTTCAAATCTCTCCATAGATACATTTGTAGGATTATATTTAATGTGTTGTCTTATTCCCACCCAGGCAGCAGTACTGGACATGGTGGAGCCACAGGGGGAGGAACAGGTGGAGGACACATTACATCTATTGGCAGTAGTTTATTGATCAGTATTAAATATGAGTGGGTAAATGCATTGATCTGATCTCTCCATAAACTTATCTGAAGGCCGATTTCTTACATCAGACGGCAGTGGGATGACTTCAGAAGAAGGTAGCTTAAAAAAAAATGGGTAGCTCAAATTAAGCATTCTGATTTTGCCACTGGTTCTCATGACACTCAAAAGCGGTCAGTCAGTTAACTCCAATTGGAAAAGTGAATGTGAGCAAACAACAGCTAATTAAGAGAAACAATTACACTCTACTAGATCTGACTACAGAGAGTGTTAACAACATTACACTGTATGGCTGACGTTAGTTTTTACATTTCGAGCTAACATCAACTTGCGTTCACAAACATCATTGTTAACAAATGTTCCTGTTGCTAAATATATTGGTTGTTTATATCTGATGTTATCTAAAATAAATCTAAATAGGGCATTCGACAGCACCCACTACCCATTTTGAATAGAAAATAATGCATCAATTTGAGTTATAGATCATCTTTAGTCTGCCTGTCTGAGAATATTCTTTGCGACCAACCAACTTGTTTGATTTTATGGTTCATTAACGACAAGTATGGTGATTACTTCTGCTAACATGAACCAGACTGTAAAGAAAGAAGTACAACATGGAAAACATTTAACGTTAAGTTCTTGTGGGAGTGGATTAAGCAGTCACCATCTGCAAAAGAAACCTGAAGAACCAGTTGCAGAACTGTGTGAAGATAAGGTCAACAAGGTCTTTCAAAATGTTATTGATTTGAAAGAAAGTTCTAGAGAAGAGCCCCACCAATAGATGAAAATCATTAATCATGATTAATCACAAGTTTAAAATACTATTATTAACCTTGCTTAGTGTATTTTTGGGAGATTAAAGAAATACACATGCTATGTTGTAATAAAGAAATGCATGACAAACTGGTAAGACAAATCATAGGTTTGTTATTTTATTGTTAAACATCTCAGCTCAGTTTTGCTGATTTCAAAAGCTGTACAGCTGATAAAATCTGTTTTTATTCACACAGTCTTTAGCTAGGAGTGAGGAGGAAACGGCTTCTGTTTTTTGTTAGGAACATGCAGCTGTAGCCTCCATCTTTAAGCGTTATATCATTATCCATTAGGTCAATATTTAAGACCTTTTTAAAGGCTATTTAGAGTTTTCAAACCACTTTGGCTTTTAGCATTAGGTCATGCTAGCTAGCTAAACTTTATAAAGTCTGCTAGCGTCACAATTCACACTTAAACTAGGAATGAGGAATCTACTTATCTTTTTCTCAGAGAAATTGACCACATAATGTTCCATGAATTACGTTGGTGAAGAATACACTTTAATGATAAGTATGTGTAGTGTCCATTCAACTGAAGTTATTTACCTTTTATCAGAAATACAGTCCCCAAAAATCAGTGGAAAACCTTTTTACTACTACCATTGGATGAACAAATTATGGGGCAAAGTTCATTTCCCCAACAAGTTCTACAAACAGGGAGACATCTTACCAAATATAAAAAAAATAAACTAGTAAAAGATAAAGCTCTGTGTGTATTTAAAACTGCTTAAAAGGACTTGGTTCTCTCATCCTTTAAATGTAATAATTTGTGCTGCAGAGGTGGGATCAGGTGGAGGACACATTACATCGGCTGGCAGTGGGATACAACCTGCAGGTGGAGGTAGTTTACTGATTCATAATCAATACGACTATGAAATATGAGTTAATCCAATTATCTAACCACTCCATATATATAGGCCTTGAAATGTATTTGATATGTCCACTCAGACAGAAGACCTGATACTGGACATGGCGGATCCACAGTGGGAGGAACAGGTGGAGGACACACTACATCTCCTGGCAGTGGGCAACCTGCAGGTGGAGGTAGTTTATTTACCTTTATAAAGTATGAATGATTAAAATCCTTTGTTCAAATCTCTCCATAGATACATTTGTAGGATTATATTTAATGTGTTGTCTTATTCCCACCCAGGCAGCAGTACTGGACATGGTGGAGCCACAGGGGGAGGAACAGGTGGAGGACACATTACATCTATTGGCAGTAGTTTATTGATCAGTATTAAATATGAGTGGGTAAATGCATTGATCTGATCTCTCCATAAACTTATCTGAAGGCCGATTTCTTACATTAGACGGCAGTGGGATGACTTCAGGTAGAAGAAGGTAGCTTAAAAAAACAGGTAGCTCAAATTAAGCATTCTGATTTTGCACTGCCTCTCATGACACTCAAAAGCAGTCAGTCAGTTAACTCCAATTGGAAAAGTGAATGTGAGCAAACAACAGCTAATTAAGAGAAACAATTACACTCTACTAGATCTGACTACAGAGAGTGTTAACAACATTACACTGTATGGCTGACGTTAGTTTTTACATTTCGAGCTAACATCAACTTCCGTTCACAAACATCATTATTAACAAATGTTCCTGTTGCTAAATATATTTGTTGTTTATATCTGATGTTATCTCAAATAAATCTAAATAGGGCTTTAGACAGCACCCACTACCCATTTTGAATAGAATATAATGCATCAATTTGAGTTATAGATCATCTTTAGTCTGCCTGTCTGAGAATATTCTTTATGACCAACCAACTTGTTTGATTTTATGGTTCATTAACAACAAGTATGGTGATTACTTCTGCTAACATGAACCAGACTGTAAAGAAAGAAGTACAACATGGAAAACATTTAACGTTAAGTTCTTGGGGGAGTGGATTAAGCAGTCACCATCTGCAAAAGAAACCTGAAGAACCAGTTGCAGAACTGTGTGAAGATAAGGTCAACAAGGTCTTTCAAAATGTTATTGATTTGAAAGAAAGTTCTAGAGAAGAGCCCCACCAATAGATGAAAATCATTAATCATGATTAATCACAAGTTTAAAATACTATTATTAACCTTGCTTAGTGTATTTTTGGGAGATTAAAGAAATACACATGCTATGTTGTAATAAAGAAATGCATGACAAACTGGTAAGACAAATCATAGGTTTGTTATTTTATTGTTAAACATCTCAGCTCAGTTTTGATGATTTCAAAATGATTGGCATGAAGTCCGTCAACTTTCTGACACTTAGCTAAAGCATCAAAAGACGCTGTCAAGCCTTTGTGATCACGCTCTGTATAATGTGCGCTACACAGATGCTCCTGTTTTCTGCCGCTATCATAATGCAAGCAGTAACTATTTCTACAGTAAAAACCTTGTCTTCCACTCCTGAGAAACTTCAGGAAACGGGCTCCTACATTACAAAGCAAAATGCCTTTCCTTCCTTCTTTTATTAAATGGTGCTGTTACTGCTTCCTGATGTCCAGTGGTCTCCAGTCAGGGAAATACATGCAGCTTGTGCCAGTTCCTCTGCTTTCTTTGCCTTTTTACTGCCATACAATTCATGGTAAACATATGAGCTGTAATTATAGGAGGAAGTTGTCAATTGGTATGTGAATAGTCTAGATATTTTAAAAACGTTTAGGTTTCCAGATAAATCTCAAGCGTTAACACGTTAACTTTGACCGGCCTGTTTTTAAAGTTAAATGGAAATATTAAATAGCCTCTTTTTGATTTTAGACGCCAACTGTGGAGACTACCCAAGTGTTCCAAACGGAGATGTTGTGCAAGTGAGCGGAACATTTTTGAAATACCAATGTAATGGCTTTTACACACTAGAGGGTCCAGACATTGTGATGTGTCAAAGCAATGGCAAGTGGACACAACTACCATCCTGCAAAGGTATAAACAAGTCATAACGACAAGTTTTTGTTCCTAAAAAGATATCACCCAAATATATTACCCGAGTAATTATACATACGTTTTTCTTTCTGTGCAGCGGCTTTCTGTGTCATAGATCCTGCTCAAACGACTATCGCCAATGTCATAATATCTCAAGATATATACGTAAAGGAAGGAGTGGATACGTATATTCCGTGTATTTGGGATGATTGGAGCAGCCGTGTTCAATGCATTAATGGAAGAATGTATTATACCCACTGTAAGTATATGGAGTCATTTTCACACAGAACAAGAATTCAAACTTAAGAATATGTATTGTAATGTCAATACTGTTACACTTCACTTATTTTGATATTTGTGTTAAATGAAATTCACCAGAAAGCAGGAAACAGAGTTGGTAAAAAAATATTTTTAAATTATCTCAATTTTTTGGGTCTTAAGGTTGGCAAATAATGTGTATGTAGCTGTAGCTGTAGCCCGACCTTAATAACTAGTAAAAATACACATTTTTACACATTTTCTTGGACTTTTTTAACACTAGGGTAGACATGCAAACTTTAGTGAATGAGAATTCAATTAGAGCAGTTTGTGTGAAAGAGATGACGTTCTGAAATATTCACTGCTGTTCTGTTGTTATTGGATTATTTCTAGGTTGTTCGAGAATTGATCATTATTATGTAAGTGCTATTCTCAGACGGCTCATTATTTTAACTACATTTGATCAGTTTTACATTATTGAATTAATACCTTTTGTCTGTGCTTTTCCAGCAAAGATGCCAAGTGGAGGTCTGGCCTGAAAACAGAAGCACAGTTGGAAGCATTTGAAATATCTCCACCAGAGAAGATAAACACCCAAAAAAACTTCATATTTGTAAATGATTTTCTTTTAAATCAGCTGTTTTTGTTCTTTCATTTTGATTGAACATATTTACACAATGTTGAAGCAAATTGTTCTTTAAGAGTAACTTTTTCTTTTTGTGCTTGGAACTCTTGATGCACTAATGTCTATCAACACTTTGATTACAAATAAAAGTGAAATGGTCTACAGTAGACTGAATAAACGGTAATTGTTCTTAAACAATCGACACAGATATTAGTTTTATATCTTCTACAAATTGCGTACAGTCTTTCCACTACAAATTGATTTCTATATTAGTAAGTATATACTTGTATTAACACACAGCTTAGTTGAATACTACATTTTCATTGGTCAACCAGAGGTTGTTAATGTTTTGCTAAGAGACCGCTGCTAATGAGAATAGACCGTAGCTACAAGAGGATCAGGGGACTATGTGCAGTCATATCAATCCACAGAAAGAAGTCCGGTCAAATTAACGCCAGATGTGCAAAACAATCTTTTTTCTCCATCAGATACATCATGCATCATTTTTATATTTGTGTAAAGCACAAAACTTTGGATTCATGATGGCTGAACTGCCTCTAGTAAAGAAAATAAAAAGAGCGCATGAGAAGGAAAGATTTTAAAAGACATCAGAGAAATCAACAGAAGAAGATAGACAGGAAGTAAACAATAAAGAGAACAGATGAAGAAGACGGACAGGAAGCAAACACTAAAGGGAACACAGTATGGGCTCTAGCAGTGTTTTTTCTTCGAGTGAATCGCCAGAACGCCGAACCCTCCTCATCACTCCACCACTCCCATGTTTTTTTTGTGCTGCCATAACTTAGTCTCTCTCCGTCGGTGCGCGGGGCTAATGCTAATGCTAATAATGCTAATGCCAGCAAACACAATGGCGGCTTCACAACATTTTTCCGAGTTTTACGGGGCGTGGTTTGCAATTCGCCCAGCCAATCAGAAATGGGAACCTTTTTCTCCCCAGGAAAGTACCACCTCTCTAGCAGGGACTGAAAAGGGGAGAAAAGGTTCCCGAAAAAAAAGATATTTTTGGTGTGAACTCAACATCCCAGGAACTATTTCTGGGAAAAGTACGGGAAAAGTTCTCCGGTGTGAAATCGCCTATTAATTCACAATAAGACGAAAAACATAAATAATACATCCAATAAGAGCCAGGGGGAAAGAAAAAGCATAAAGTCACAAAAACATTTAAGAGGCATTAAGCTTACTTAATAACCATTTGGAAATGTCATTGTAAATCTTTATAGACATGTTACAAGATTGTATTTTTCTAAGGGACAGAAAAAAGGACATGAACTCATTTATGAAACAGGGAAAGGAGGGCTTGCCTCCTCTCCATTTACTACAATGTAAACGGTATTTACCCAAAATAATAATTATATTTACCAAATCAGAAATTGAAGAGTCCAAATTTTCAATATAATATCAAATGTGATATACTCTAGCAGCGTGAGTGGTTAATGAAAAATAAGATGTTAACAGACTTGCTGTCGCCGCAGTTCCTGCCTTTGGTACGCAGTGGAGCGGAATATATATATTTTTTAGCTGTAGCAATACGGTCATTTTTAAATCAACGTTGTGAGTCAAGCCCTTTGTATAGTTAGTATGTTGCAATGTAATACGTGGGATAATGTGATAGGGATCTTGATCACCCTGTCTGTGTTCTTTTATCATTAATGACCGCCTCACTGCACATTATGCCTTACTTAATATACTTTAGCAACACTGCAAAGTATGCTGATACTTGGACAGAAATACTCACTTACAGTATGGTGGTGTCACAACAAAACACATTTTCAAAACAGAAAACACAACTTTCCAAGAAATATTTACAGTGTTTCTGGCAAATTAGCACCTGAACTATGTGTTCTTGTGTTGATGGGCCTTCAGCTGCCTAACCAACACTTAAATAAAAGCGCACATCTTGAAGGTTTATTGACAGAATCATGACTTTACTTATTATTTAATCATAACCAGTCACACCAGGAGCAGATGGAGGTAATTTAGTCATACTGTACATTAGATGATACAATGTTCAGCTTTAGTGTTTATAAAATGGGATTATCCTGTAAAGACAATGCTCCGGCCGATGATGGAAAATGTATATTATTATGTTATATTCGGATAATGAAGTTATAGTTGATAAACTCTTGGACCATAATACAAAGCCAAATTGCTTTTATTGACTTAACAAGCGCTGCATGCAACACTCAGATACAGTCGGAAGTGGAATGCAATTTTAAAGTTGGTTTTGACAACACAATCGTAATTTGCAATACTAACTTTCAGATGTAGATAAAAATGAAATGTTGGGAGCATATGGCAGGCAGAAGAAGCTCAATACAGAATGTTTCTCAGCATAAAATGTGTCCTTGAACATGAAATCACCGGAGAACTAGTGCTCACTTCAAATCA